ACGTCATGGGTTACATAGGCACGCTCTTTGACAGACAAAAGACATTTATTTTGGTTTTCAATGAATACACTATGTGGCACCTTTTTCTTTGTCAATCTTTACACATTTTTTCTTTGTTCATCATTTCTGTACGGGGAGCAAATATTCCGGCAAGCCCGTACTCCTTTCTTCCGAGCTCCGTCGATGTCCGATCACCTGCGAGCAAGTAACGGTGAGCTACCCGGCGGTGTGTGGCCGGAAAAACCCTCCGACGATCAAGGTAGCACACACCTTAGGATGGATAGAGAGAAGGGAGGGAGTGTTTGGGTGCGAGAGTTTCTTACAGATATGTGTTTTTTTGCGTATGGGGGGCGCAGACATGCTTTTATACCTTCTGAGCCCCATATCCACTCCCAGTCATCTCCTGACACGTGGCTCTGCTATCCCATCTGTCAGCATAAACCATGCCATTCACCACCTAACCTCAACTGCCTGACTTCACAGCTGGAGCTCGGCAGCCGAGTTGTTCTACCTCGGCCATGTCATGCTTCAAACCCATGCGCCTAGCCGGACAAACACATGAAGGACCGGGCTAGGCGGCATCTCGGCAAAGCCTAGCCCGGGCACCTCCTTTGGTTGGCCTTCTTGCCGATCAATCAACTACCTCGGCTGACCGCGCCTTTCCGGGCGCCGGTCTCTCGGTCTGTCTGGTTTCGACCATCCTCGGACCGAGCATCCTGGTCCGACCGAATCTTTACACATTTTTTCTTTGTTCATCATTTCTTTGACAAACTTTTGCAGGTAAGTCACCAAGATGTTCAATTCACACTTTTGAATATAATATCATACATATATACAAATATTTTTGTCAAACTTTTGTGCTAACTTTTTCTATTAATTATAGTAATATGTATATATATATATACATGTGAAGGATACAAAACTCACCGTCAAGCTCATCTTTTTCTTTTTACAATAATATATATATTTATATTTAAAAAAAGTATGATTTGCTTTCAAACATCACTTGAGTATGTTTTACTTTGATTGCAAAATACAAATTAAATATTTTTGCTATATACCAATCATTCCATGTGAGTATATTAAATTTGTCAAAAGATGACAACTCACTAATATTACATTTGTCAAAATACTATAATTAATCAATATTAATTTCGTCAAAAAGTGAATAGTGACCAGCCGAACTTTTCAAAATCATGAATAGTAATGTTTTCAAAATATTTTCATTTAAATAATATTTATAACAAATATAATCATACAATATATATTTTAAACAGATAATATTTTGTGTCAAATAATATAGAATATGTATATTAAAAAAATTTAATTTTTTGAAATAATATTTTAGACATCATCAAAATTAAACAATATGATTAACATGAACGAAGCACAGTGTATAAATGGACGAAGCACATCGTATAAAGGAAAAATAAGTTGTCCATTCACATCAAATCCATGGGAAGTAGATTGTCTATGTACTCTATTTTCCATCAATCAAATAGTGTTGTGGTTTCTTCTAATTGGATATTCAATTGTTGTTGGTTATGTTCATATATATATATATATATATATGTATGTATTAACTTGGTTGTTTTTCAAATTTGTATATTTCAACTTGTCAAAGAAATTGACAATGAGATTTGTATATTCCCAATCTATTTTATTATACACTGAAGGTGTTTGTTGTTATGCTTGTGAGAAGTGGTCAGTAAAATTTCTCTGGCCATATTTGCAGAGAAATTTTGTAAACACATAAAATTTGGTCAAAACACAAAAAAAATTAATATATGAACAAAGCCAGAGAAATTTCAATTTTTTTTTTAGATTTCTCTGGTTTGAACCCAGAAAAATTCTCCTTTTAGTCAAAATCTATCTATCTATCTCTCTCTCTATCTATCTATATATATATATATATATGTATGTACATTGGTTGTTGTTATTACTTATTTAGGAGTGTTTTGGGAAGTTGGTAAAAAGCTGGCTTTTGGCTTTTTACCAAGCTTTTTAGCTTTTTTGATAGTGATTTGGGAAGTTAGTAAAAAGCTGATTTTTTTATTTTTTGGTTTAATATTTTTTAAAAGTGTCACATCACTACAAAATGACCAAAATACCCTCAGCCAATTGAAGAAATTTACCTAAGCTGAGGGTAGTTTTGTAATAGCCAAGCTGCGTTTTTTTCGCTTCCCAAATGGCCATTTCAGCTTTTTTGCACACTCCTGCGTTTTGTTTCCCAACCCAATATTTAGGAGTGTTTTGGGAAGTTGGTAAAAAGCTGGCTTTTGACTTTTTACCAAGCTTTTTGGCTTTTTTGATAGTGATTTGGGAAGTTAGTAAAAAGCTGGTTTTTTTATTTTTTGGTTTAATATTTTTTAAAAGTGTCACATCACTACAAAATGACCAAAATACCCTCAGCCAATTGAAGAAATTTACCTAAGCTGAGGGTAGTTTTGTAAATAGCCAAGCTACGTTTTTTCCGCTTCCCAAATGGCCATTTCAGCTTTTTTGCACACTCCTGCGTTTTGTTTCCCAACCCAAAAACGTAGCGTTTTGACTGGGTTCCCAAAACGGCACTTAGGTGATCGATTTTGTGTATTGCACATCGTGATTGGGAAGGTAGAGAAATTTTCTAGTTTGAACGCAAAGAAATTCTTACGAAAATCAGAGAAATTCTCTGCCTTCTTCTGGAAAAAAGTTCTCTGGAAAGTCTAGAAAAATTCCTAGAATTTAGAGAAATTCTCTCGATCAATGTTGACGGACCTTAAATATTATGAAAATATTAAATGTCTTTTATACTATAAAATCTTAATACCAGAGATCCTAAAAAAATCTCCTAAAATTAACTATATATTTTGGTAGATGAGAAATGATAATATCATTTTTTTTATTCATATACAATCATTGAATTATTAATAAAAAAAATTAATTATTATGTTAATTAAAATTTTAGGGAAAATCGGTCTAAGGTCCCTGTCCAACTTTTAGTAATGGATTAGGTCCACAATATGTTCTTTTGTAGTCTAAGGTCCATCCCCTCTTTGTCTCTCTTTCCGTGCCCGATCTAAACGAAGAGCTACCATCGGAAGCTATAGACAAACAACTCTCTCTCCCTCTGCACCGAGCCAGCACCACTGCGAAGCATCGACCAACACCAACCTCAACACCACACGCAACCATGGCAGCAAGCTTCTGATCAACTCTCTGTTCCTCTGCATCGAGCAAGTACCACTGCGAAGCATCGACCAACACCAACCTCAACACCACGCGCAATCATGGCAGCAAGCTTCTGATCAACTCTCTCTCTCTCTCTCGCCGATTGAGAGTGGTGTGACCCATTTCGAAGGTTAGATTTGAGACCTAAACTTCAATTTGTTGGTCAGGAAGAAACTTGTGCTTTAGGGACCTAAGTTTCTCGCGAGCATCCTCAACCCTTTCGTACTCTGCTCTTGCCTCTGAGTTCGACCTCTCTTGTTTCTCCTGTAATTGAGCCAATACCTCTTCGCATGATTGTAGAGCCGCTTCTGCCATTAAAGCTCGAGCTTCATCATCCTCAATGAGCTTGGTCACCCCGAATTCATCTTGGAAGTTGAAAACTCTCTTGTAGTTCTGTGGTCTGGTTCTCACTTTCCCAATACTTTGCAAGCCCACTTTCATAAAAGCTCTTCACATACTCTTTCACAGTTTGTAGTCCCAAAATTTCTTTATGAAGCTTGTCAACCTCATTAAATGCCTCAGAGTTGCTCAAACCAGATTTCGTGGAAGCAGTTTTACTAACATTTACTTCTTTTGATGACTCATTGTTTTGCAGTTTCTTTGATGCTGGTAATAAGTTCAAGTCTCTACTTGGAAACTTTGTTGATGCTTGTGACAGGTTCTTTGGAGCTCTAGAAGAACCATAGTTGTTTTCATCCATTGCTAATTGGGCTCGTTCTGGAAAAACAGTAGCAATAGTGTTGTTGGCATTTTGCAACTCTGTAGATAAGTGGTCATACCGTTCAACTAAGGCACGGTAAGCTCGGTACGATTCTTCAACAAAGGTTACTAGCTCTGGCCTTCTCTTATAATACATTTTTTCCCTCTTGTGGAAAATGACCCAGATTGCCCAGTATGTTCCCTTCCACTCCCCTCCAACAGGTTCATTGATCAAGCGTAGAAAGTTTCTCTGGGTTGGTCCAGAGAAATTCTCTGATTTGAATTGAAATTTCTCTGGGTTGGTCCAAAGAAATTCTTTAGTTTGAACTGAAATTTCTCTGGGTTGGTCCAGAGAAATTCTCTGGATTGAATTTGCTCCATCAACCACTCCTCTAGCCAGTTAATGCATCATAGAAATTTTAGGAAGAATTGGGGCCAGAAAAATTCTGAGAAGAATTGGACCAGAGAAATTCAAAATTTCTCTGGACTCAGCCAATGCATTAGAGAAATGCTGAGAATTCTAGGAAGAATTGGGCCAGAGAAATTCTGAGAATAATTAGACTAGAGAAATTCTAAGAAATTCAGAATTGCTTTAGACTTTCTAGAGAAATTTGGTCCAGAGGGGCTAGAATTTCTCTGGACTGAAATTTCTCTGGATCAAGGTTGAGGGACCTTAGACATTATGAAAATATTGTTGAGGGACCTTAGATATTATAAAAATATTGAATGTCCTTTATGCTATAAAATATTAATATCAGGGACCTTAAAAAAAAAATCCCAATTTTAAAAGAGATCAATATATTTATGTTTAAAATATATTACTAATTGTATTTTTTTAATATAAATTTTAAGTAACTAATTTGTGATTATTTTCTCTTTATTTTATTACTACTATTTTTTTTCACTGCCAATCCAAGGCATTATATAAATATATATTTTTTAAACTTTTTATCTCTTTTAAGTCATATTAATTATTTATTTATATATATATATATATATATTTAAAAATTTAACATTTATTAAGATCATCTAAAATAATCTGTCTTGATGGATGATGGAGACAGACAACCACTGAACTCTGAAAACAAATGTGCATGTACTGTGTACTGTGCACACACCGTAAGTAAAAAATCAGAGTCTCACACAAGAACTCAAAAGAATCAGTAAAGAAAGAGCAAACCTTCACATTCACACGAATAAATGCATATCTTTCTTCGCCGCCACCAACTCCAATGCCTCCTCCTCTTCCTCCTCTTCTGCACCGCCCACGGTGGCGACGCCGAGCCACCGCCGACGGACGCACCGGACCCGAGATCGAAGCCTCTAATTTTGGTGAAGATCTGGTGCTTAGTCATCTTATTCGTCACCACATTCGTCGCCGGAATCTCCCCCTACTTGGTGAAGTGGAACGAAGGGCTTATTCTGCTGGGTACCCAGTTCGCCGGAGGAGTGTTTCTGGGGACTGCTCTGATGCAATTCTTGAGCGATTCCGATGATGCTTTCGATAGTTTGATTTCCAAACACTACCCTTTCGCGTTCATGTTGGGGAGTGTTGGGTTTTTGATCGCAATGTTTGCGGATTGTGTTGTTCTCTATGTTTATCGGAAGCAGAGGAGCAGAGATGTTAGGGTTCAAGGTACTACTGGTTCAACTTCTGAATGATGTGACTTTATACTTGTGAATTGTAGCATGAGATGTGAATTTCTAAATTAGGATAAACTGATAATTCTCTGCTCATCATTGCCATCGATGTTGGGTACAATTTGAAAGATTTTGGGAATGATCATCAAGTTAGAAATTGTCAAAAGCACTGGCCTCCGTTTGGGTTGACTTTTTAACTTTTTGATTTTTTTGGTTATTTGAGCTGGGTTCAAAAGCTTAGTTTGGGAAGGATTTTTTGACTTTTTAGCTTTTTTGATTTTTTTTTGTAAGAGAAGAGTATAATGATTATGAGTTAAATGTAATGTTTTGTCTGTTTTGGCTCAAATAGTCTATTCTGTCTTTTATGGCTCAAAGAGCCAAAAGAGCTCAAATGAGCTCTTCCCAAACGTCACCGAAATTATTCTAAATTACAGAACCATGAGAACCAGCTTGTTGAAATTCTCTTCTCTCTCTATTGAAGATTTATTTGACCTCATCTTTTGAGCACTATTTGAAGTTACAATGTGCATTTTAACATGATGAATTAAATTATGAAGAATTTAATTACGGTTTTTGGGCTCTCTGATTTCTTATTTATATATGTTTTTCTGTTGTTTGTAGGGGGTATCCAGCAGAGAAAATCTAGCAGTGGTGTGGGTACCTCGCAGTCACAAATTCAGGTGAGATAATGGAAAGAAGTTATGTTTATGTTTCTAACTCGAATTAAGCTTCATATATGCAATGTCTAGCTTGGAATGGATCCAACACATTTCACATAAAATTTCAGATAGGCAGAAAAAAGGATTGTCAGTTGGAATAAGCTTTCGAATGCTAGCAAACCGAGCTGACTGAATCTTTCCTTCGTGCTTTAACAGGTTGATGATGGCACGGATCATATTATGAACACTTTATTTTTCAATGCTATCTCCTTCGGAGACAGCGTGTTGTTGATAATAGCCTTATGTTTCCACTCCATATTTGAAGGCATTGCAATTGGTGTCATGGACACACAATCTAGGGCTTGGAGAGCTCTTTGGACCGTCACCTTGCACAAGGTTTTCGCTGCCATTGCAATGGGAATAGCCCTCCTGAGAACGATCCCAGGCCATCCTCTCTTGTCGTGCACTGCCTATGCTTTTGTATTCGCCATCTCATGTCCTATCGGTGTTGCCATAGGGATAGTAATAGATGCCACTGCACCGGGCATTGTTGCAGACTGGATATACGCCATATTTATGGGCCTCGCAAGTGGGGTTTTCGTTTATGTCTCTGTTAACCATTTGCTTTTCAAGGGTTACTTGCCAGAGGGAACCGCGTCGGTTGATATGCCTCATCACAAGTTTGTTGCTGTGGTTTTGGGGGTTGCGGCAATTGCTGTTGTGCTGATTTGGGATACGTCAAGTCGTGCTTATGGAGGCGGGTGATCCCTGTTTTCTGTGTTTATTCAGGAAGGCAAATGTTATCAGTTAATCTGTTATTTTTATAATAGCTAATGTACATGCTAAACTGTTGCTGATTATTAGTCTTTGTATAGTGTTTTTTTTCTTATGTACATTAGGCATTTTATTGAAAATAAGATTGATGAAATAACTTGTTATCAATTTTAAAGTCTGGCACGCTGTATTAATATTATTTCATTAGGATATATGAAGCTCAATTTGTTCTCTTTGAGGTGAAGATTCACTCCATTATTATTTGTTGCACTCGTGTGTGGTTCACTCAAAATCAACAGCAATCAAATTGAAAACCTCTGTATATGGTATAGGGCTCACCTCATGCGAGAGGTCAGTGATCAATTTGGTGCAGTTTTTAACAAACTAAAAGCTAATAATCGCATAAACTAAAATGATCTATTTTTCTATTTCCCAATAATTTTTTTTTCAACTTATTTAAGTTATTTCTATTCTATAAACGGTAAATAAAAATTGCACCAAATAATTTGACACAAATTTCAAAATTATTAATATATATATATATATATATAAACAACTCTACAAAACTGCACCAAACAGCCAAGAATAGAATGGCCTTTGCTTCTTCCTGCTGTGAACACAAGTTGTAAGTAATTCATGTCTATATTACAAGGGCCACTTGCCATTGCTAATTTGCTACTATATTTCTGGCAGGCAACAATTCAGTAACTAATTGATCATCATATCCTCAAGGAGAAATAAAAAGGTTCTACTTTGAAATGTACAAATAAATAAATAAATCACCTGTAAATATGACTTTGTATAGTTGAAGGAGTTGAATAATCTCAATGCATACATGACTAACTGACCAACTGCTTTACAAGTTATGACATTTAATGAGGGTCCGAGATTTAAACAACCTATCTTCCTATGAAGTTGCCTGCCATAATTTGCCCATTACCATACTTAAAAAGATACATGACTGAACGAGCTTTGTTTTCAAAAACCCAAGCTTCAAGAGCTTCCAATACCCTTCTTCACAAGCATGTCATAAACCCTATCAACCTTGCTTGGGTCGACAGCCTTGAACAGACCATGGGCATCTGATTTTGTGGTAATGTTGCCATTTAAAATCCCCACTGACATGGTTTGCAACATGCTGAGGTAATGCGAAGGTAGGATCCTTATCTCGCTGCAAAGCCATTTCTCCTGCATGTAAATATGACCGTAGATTCAAAACTCTAGACTAATCATTAATCCAAAAACTAAAAACTTCAGAGTAGACAACTATGTAGATCATGACATAGAAGCAGTTGGGAATTGGGAATAGCATTCTTACAGTTTCAGAGAGTCAGCAACAAGAAATGTAAATATGACCATAGATTCAAAGTCTAGACTAATCATTACTTTAAAAAATAATAACAATAAAATAAAATAAAAAATACTACTAAATACTTCAAAGTAGACACCTAAAAGCAATTGGTAATTGGTAATTGGCAATTAGGAATTGGGAATAGCATTCTTACGCTTTCAGAAAGTAAGTCGGCCCCCAGAAATCCATTAACATCCCAACTATCTAATAACGAGCTTGAAGTAGCTTGTCCTGGAGTTGTTGAAGAAGAGTCCTTGCCAAAGGAATCTGATAGTGATAATCCACGAGCATTTCCCCGGGGGCTGCTATCAGGTTCGCCTTTAAGGTGAATCGCCCTTTGCAAGAATTTACCACTAGGACCAGCCTGGGCACTATCCTTTGATTTACAAGCACTTTCTTCAGCTTCCTTCTTCCTTTTCTCCTCGATATATTTTTCAGCCTGAGCAGATGTACGGCAGCCAGCAGCTCGAGCTTCCTGCACAATTAATTTTTGTCTGAATACCAAGAAAAAAAACTCTGCACACATCCATCGTCCAGACTTGTGATACCAAGTATGAACATCATTTCACATATTTACAGGGTGAAAAGAATGTGTTTGAGTGTGACACAATGTATGAGAAATGATATCCTGGGATTGGTATAAAGCCAAAATAAGTAGAGCTTGTATTTCAATAACCGAGGACTATGAGGATGATGCTTGTTCAAAAGTAGCCCAAAAAACTAGCCATAGTTACAAGTTATACATTTCCCCAGATTAGATCTTCCAATTCACCATCAAACATCCTATCTCTCTTCATTGTAATGATCTTCACAACCTTTCCGCCCTCCCCAATCTGGTTATGGCTGGTGCTTAAGGTTCATGATGTTCCTATTAATCATCAATATAAATATATGTAGAATAAAGGTTTTTAAATTCCAAACATGATTTTTGTTCTCCGATGGCTGGCAGCAATGGCAGATTGTTCTCAATCAACCATGGCAGATTGTACGGTTGGATCTTCATATGGAAGATCAAGATCAAGTTCTACATCCAAGAAGGTCTGCAGTCAGTCCATTGATTAACCAATTCTAAATATCCAAAATAACAGAAAGATTAACCAAATTCTTGATTACTAACAAGGACAAGAGTGGAGATAGATGCCAGCAAAAAGTTGACATTTATCAACAGAAAATAACAATGGTAAATGACACTCGTATTTGAACTGAGTTATCTATGCATAGTCTTTTGACCACTGGGTAACCATAAGCATCAATAAAAACTTACATGCAGATAAGCACACTAGAGGCCCGAAGTTTTCTGATAGGTAACATCTTTACAAGCGGTGTCTAGTGGCAACTTGGGTTCATTATCGAGTGGGCACTAGGGTCCAACCCATCCATCATATATCAAAACTACAGCAGTTGACTCTCATTTCCTGAACTGCTTAAACAGATAAAAAGTATACTGAGATCAAAAGTCAGGCGTGCAATCAAACCTGAAGATCTTGTATTATTTTCATGATCCGATGTTCCTCAATAATACTAGTAAGCAGCTCCTCATGCACTTCTTTTGAATGAAATCGCATAAACACCCTGTAACGCCGACATATTTCTCTCTCTTCAGGTGAAAGGTTCTTCTCAAAAGGGTCTGGGTAAAGTAAATTTCTTTCCAGCACAAAATCCTTTCTGCGCTTCCTTTCATCAAGCCTGCCAAAAATTCCAGGGACATTTGAATCATTGGCAAGAAAACAGGAAAATATGAATGCTATCACATCTTGCTCGGAGGCATGTGGTACAAATGCATCACATTCATACAGTCATTACATGCTCCAACAGATAATTGATATTGAATAACTGAATGCAATCAAAGAAGCAGTTGTTGCTGAATGTATTACTGAAGAGAGATCAGTACATTATTCTCAAGCATTTCTTCATGAAAATGTTTAGCGGATCCTGCTGATGTATTAAGAGTAATGCCAGTCACCACTCATGAATTAAATTACGAAGTTCCTTTCCAGACTTGATGACATACAAAATAATTTTATTGGCATATTGCAAATGGGACAGTTTCTGGGCCTTGGCCATGTCTTGGGTTCTGGCATGAAAAATGTTCATTTAAGAAGATAGGTCTCTAACCAAAGGATATAAAGTAATAGTGTACCTTTTCAAGTAAATACGCAACACTCGCAGTTTAAGTTCACGTTCAGCATCAGTGTCCGATTCTTTGAATTCCATGTCTGCCAACAACTGCTCCGCATCATGATCATATTCAAGTTCAAACTCTCGCCTCTTGGGATTATAGCCACTCAACCTCGTCATAGAAGGCCCCTCCTCCCCGGGTGTCCTAAGTTTTTTCTCTCCAATGCTCCTGTCTGCATGAGAATCTAACAACAACATTGTATAAGAAAATAAATACGCATTAATCTTCTAGAAGAGATAACACACGCATGGACTCCAAATTGACTGGCTATCATACAAAATATAGAAACTTTTTTTGGTTTGGTTTTGCTACACATATTGCAAAATGTCAATTAGACTTCAAGTATATGCTTCTTTCTTGGAAAGGGATGTGGGGGACAAAGGCCCCTTCGAAGGTTGGGCTTTTTTTCGGGACAGAGGCACATTCCAAGATTCTTAACATTAATGACTTCGAAAGGAGAAATAAAATTTGTGTTAATTGATGCTGCATATGCAAGCATGATGAAGAATTCATGAGTCATCTTCTTATCCATTGTGAAGTAGCTAGAGATTTGTGGTCTTCTATTCTTACCATGTATGGGTTGGAATGAGCGTTCTCTCATAAGGTAGTGGATCTTCTTCACTCAAGGAGGGGTGCTAGAGTGGGAAGGAGTAGGAAAGCATGGTCTTTGGTTCCCTTGTCTTTGAAGCAAATAATTTGGGGAGAATGGCATAGAAGAACCCTCAATGAGAAGGAGAGCCCCATTTTAAATTGAAAAGTGGGTAATCTTTCATTTTTGAATAGTTGGTTCTTGGGCATCGTTGATTCGACCTTGAATCAATTTTTGGATTTTATGGAGAATTTCAAGTAAGATTTTGATGTATAGATGAAATAGGTTTGGTCCTTATTTGTACATGGGTTGCACCCCCCTTAAGATTTTGATGTATAGATGAAATAGGTTTGGTCCTTATTTGTACGTGGGTTGCACCCCCTTGGTGCCGATCTTACTATATAACTAAAACAAAACAACACCCCATTAGTACCCATTAATGGGTGTTGGAGGGGCAACCTGTAAGACCTGTCATCATCTAGTTGCTAGGGCAACTAGTCTCACAGCCAAAAAGAGCTGCAATATGTCTAGTTGAATGCCAGTTCCAATGTGGTGTCCATACAAATGAGTAATACAATAGAATTAGCAACGTGAAACAGAACTAGAAATTCTACCTTCCATTTTGATGTCCTGATGATCATCCTTAATTTGGGATGCCCGCTTAACTGCACTAGTAGATGTGTTGCCAGCAACCACACCAGCACCTGTCTCTGATTTGTAAGGGAGAGTATCATGACACACGCACCATGATCACTATAACTTCATATCCTTATAAATAAATAAATAATAAAAATAATTTGCCAACCTGACAAGTCACCAATGTCTCCAGATTATTGAATGCCATACCTGAAGTTAAGCTTGATGAGGATTGACCAGTTGAACCTTCCTTTCTTTGATCTTCAACCCTGTCCAAGCATGTCAAAAGGAATTAAGGGCAGAGGTTCAAGAAGCTATTTGGAAAAGGACACAAAATGACCAGCTAGCTATACTTGATTCTTGCAGATAGCAGAAGCTCATCATTCACAGTAAGTTCCCCAAGTGTAGGAAATCCTGAGACAGCACATAGCAGGAAAAAGGCCACATATCAGTCTCTCATGAGGTCTAACCTGTACATCAAATGACACCCCAGAAACAAATAAAGATGGCCACTGGTCCTTTCACTGATGATCTAATCTAATGCTCTAACCTAAGAAGCACAAAACATTTTTAAAAAAAGATGCCATGTCCATATTGGATGCCAACACACATAGGCCATTCCTCAACATATGTCAGCCACAAATCTACATGTCCTATTATTTTCTTAATTTTTTTTAGAACTGGACAAAGTTCACTCACTTTGGAGACATGCATCCGCAATCACTTAGAGGCACGTAACACAGCAATTTTAAAGAAAATAACTAGGGAGCCAATTATTAAAATCAAAATAATATGGATTTAAACATATTAATCCTTCTTCCTTTATAGACACTTTAATTTCAGAAACTGTAAAGCCTAAAACTTCCAATTTGTTTGTGATGGAATTTTTTAAAAATAAATACTATTGACATTTTTTTCACACTTTATTCCCAATATATAGAAAGTGGAGAATGATTTTATACTTTGATATAATAAAATATGAATGTATTTGTAATGTAGAAAATGTTGGAGATAAGATTATATTGTCAAAGATATAAGAAGATTTGGAAGATATTAGAATATATGGAGATCCCGTAATTTGTGGAGAAGAAATTATTTTCATGTATATGTCAAGATATATTTTTATTTGTTGTTTGTCCTCTCCATGTCGTGTCTTGATTTTCTGAAAAGTATTGTGTTGGTGTGTCCATATTGCGTCCTGTGTCCTATTCATGCTTCTTAGGATCTCACCATCTTCTAGTAGTCCACGGAAATGAACGAGAGACTAAAAATTGATGAGCTTAAAGAGTGCAAAAGCATATTGTATGTGCATAAATCATTTAAATTTATAAATTGAAGGAATCAATTAAACCCAAGTGTAACGAGGGAATGAAAATAAGGTGGTACAACTATGAAAATAAAAGCAAGAAACAGGGCACTATTAATTGTTAAATGTTCAATTAAAGACGATGGCCCACATAAGCATGCAAATGGAGGGCCGGAAATTTACTAGAACCGATTGACTACAAACTAATTATGTCAATCTCCCATTCAATACATTAAGCCAACAAGTCAAATTTAATACAGAATAAACTTCAAAATAGAGCTATGACAAATAATTAAACATTAGACCGCTGACCTTTATTGACTTCACCATGCTCCTTGGCCATAGCAAGAAGTTCCTCTCTATTCTTTCCCATAACATGAGACATGTCCTAGGAAGATATAGGATGCAAATTATAACTAGAATTGTAAGTTTCAGCTTGAAGCCTTCGGGAAAAAAAAAATTTAATTATTTCATACCGGAAGTGGAAAGCAAGGCGAGTTCATGTATATAGCATTATAGTGGTCAATACATTGTGCTTTACTTTTTGTTCCAACATGCTCTGCAACTTCAGTCCAGTTCCCCAACCCATACATTTCAATACCCTAAAGAAAGGAAGTTGTTTAAACTATTAGGACAAGGTACGGGAGATATCCACATCCACTTCCAATTATCAAATGCATTAATATGCAGATTAACAAGGACTATCAGTGTGCATTGCCACTAAAAACATTATATAGGTAATATATGTAGTATACCTCTAGGAGTAATATTTCTTCATCTGCATTCCAGTCAGAACATATTAATGGGAATGACAAATTATCCTGGAGAAAACAAAAACTTGAAGGTCATCAGGAAACTTTGTTTCATAGATAATATCACAAAAATTACCAAGGTAACACTGGCTAGTATTTTTTTAACGGCGGATTTGGTGATAGACCCCTCACAATCTAATTTGTCTTTCAAAAGGACAAGAATTATATAGGTACTTTCAAAACCCCCTAATATTTTAAAACTTGTTTCTTTTATTATATTACCCTCATATCTATCAGCTCTCTCATTAAGCCATCTTCACAGTGTCTTTCAGAGTAAAATTTTACTTTGAATCACAATAAACTTTACTCTGATTCAGAGTAAAATTTTACTCTGAATCAGAGTAAAGTTTACTATGATTCAAAGTAAAATTTTTATTGTTAAGCAAATCAACATATTTTTAATCAAAGTAAAATTTCAGAGTAAGGTTTTACTTTCAATCATAGTAAACTTTATTCCGATTCAAACTAAAATTTTACTCTGAATCAGAGTAAAGTTTACTATGATTCAAAGTAAAATTTATATTGTTAAGCAAATCAACATATTTTTAACCAAAGTAAAATTTCAGAGTAAGGTTTTACTTTCAATCATAGTAAACTTTATTCCGATTCAAAGTAAAATTTTACTCTGAATCAGAGTAAAGTTTACTATAATTCAAAGTAAAATTTTATATTTTTAAGCAACTCAACATGTTTTTAACTAGAGTAAAATTTTACTTTGATTCAGAGTAAACTTTACTCTGATTCAGAGTAAAATTTCTGTGTGAAATTCTTATTAGAGAGATTCTTATCAGAGAGACAGAAAGAGAGAGAAATTGAATAGATCATCCATTTTAATAGATCGATCATCCATTGAACAAGCTGAGTATGAACAGATCAATTCAAAAACCAGTAAAAAGGCAAATCTATATTACAAGGATATATAACCACAAAACACACAGATCAAAATCTAAACAAAAACATACAAATATCAACATAATCATAATCTGACTGAGGTGGCCATTTCAGAGAACACATCCAAATATCTCTCTATCTTTTGATTTCAAAGAATACATGTGTTCAACAACACTCATACACACAAATATATATATTGTATACATACATATTCAAAACTCGAATCTGTGTTTTAAAAAAATATGTATAACCAAACAACTCCACCAAACATGCCTTTGTCGCCTCCTAGAGTGCCGCGACAGCGTTGATCTAGAACCCTAGATCAGTACTGAACCTCAAATTGGTGGAAATGGTAATCGCACATCAACATATCTGCCTCTCTCTCTCTATATATATATATATATATATAAATATGTGTATATCTATAGCCAGAGTCCGGCGACAATCGCCGCCGTAGCCTTCGCATAATACACATACATACACTCACTTACCGATATATATACATATACACATGTATGTGTGAGTCATATATACATACATACATGCACACACATATATCTAAATACATACATACACATATACATAGGAAGAGCAAATCAGCGGAGACGTGGCGGAGCTTGGCGTCTTCGCCGAAGGGAGTGGCGGAAGAGGATCAGACGCCGGCGGCGTTGGCAAGGTCGGCGCAGGAGTTCTAGAGGCGGTAGCTGAGCTTCCAGATCTGAAGCTTGAAGGAGTTAGAGAAGGGAAAGGGAAGGAGAGAGACAGAGAAGGTGGGGAGAGAGTGGGTGAAGAAGGTGGGAAGATTTAGTTGAGGGTATAATAGTCTGATAAAATATTAAATAATAAATTTTGTCCTTTATACAAGACTTTATAATTATAAAGGGGTTTAAAAAGTATAATTTTTTTCTTAATCCTTTTAACAATGAAAGGAAGGTAAAAGGAGTTTATAGCCAAATTTCCCTTTTTTAACCACAAAGAAAGGAACGGTGTCAAAGTAACATGAGAAGAAAAACTGATGAAAGAAAGAAGAAGACAACACAAACCGATGTTTAACACATATCAAAACCACAATTCTATATTAAAAGGGAAAAAAAATCATCTACACATAATATTATGAGAACTGAAAATCAAGTCAACAAACCCCATCAAAAATATGTATGGGAAGCCAACATGGGAAATTTATACTATGTATAAAGCAAAGGCTGGACTTATTGTCCTAAAGCCTTTGCTTTTCTTTATGCCAAGCGGCTTCTTTTTGTAGCTATCCCTTCTTCTTCTTTTTTCTTTTTTTTGATCGACAACAAAAGCTTTATTGATAAATCAAAAAAGGAAAAGAGGATAAGGCATCCTCTTAAAACAGGACAATGAGAATACAAACACAAAAAGAACCCCTAACAAGCTAAACACGGGTAAAAGCCTACATAGCACACATTGCCAACCAATCTCTAGCTAACAAAAAAAGTGGGACTCCCTTAAATAAAGAGTTCCCCGACGCCCAAAAAGAAGATAAGTGACAAACATGATTTCGCTCCATCCATTGAACCCAAAAAATTGCAAAGACGGCACAAGACTAGAGAATTTTGGCTCTCTTCGATCCTCCGAATGTGTGAAAATCAACTAGGAGCATATGCGCACTCCCTTTTGGGGTAACCCACATAACATTTCTCAAAGAAAACAATCTATGCCATAAATTCAAAGCTATTGGACAATGAAAGAATAAATGATCCACGGATTCCCCATTCTTACAACACAGAATGCACCACTGAGGATTTAGAACACGATTGGGTCTCCTTTTCTGCAATGTATCATTTGTCAAAATGCCTCCATGAACCAAGGCCCACATGAACACCTTTTCCTTTAAGGGAGCACAAGCCTTCCAAACTTTTTTGCAAAAGGGAAACTACGGACCTTGAGGATTATCAATGATGTAATAAAAAAAAGACTTGCAAGAAAATATTCTGGACGAATGAAGAGCCCAAACCCTCTTGTCCTCCAAAAGAGGAAATAAAGAAAAATGATCAACTCTGGATAATAAAGAAATCTGCCGTGAAGCCTCCCTATCATTAAGATTCCTAGAAAAATCAAAATTCCAAGAGATTGAAGCCAAAAGTGAGCAAGCCATGGAAGCAATTGAAGGATTATGAGAACGAGCCACTCGATATAGATGCAGGAAATCGACAGCAAAAGAAGATTGATCCATCCAAACATCCTCCCAAAACCGAACAATTTCCCCATTGCCCACCCTTACAGAAAGATGTCGGGACCAACATGTGAAAATTTGAGAAATTGACTTCCAAGGAGCATGACAGCTACCCCTCAAAACCACTTGTGAATCCCTACCATTGTCTTGAGTCCCATATTTGCTTCTGATAACCGAATGCCATAGTGAATTAGTCTCAAGTGGAAATCTCCATAACCACTAGCCAAGAAGGGCCAAGTTCCTAGCCACAATATTACCGATAGCCAATCCCCTTTTCTTCTTCGGTAATGACACTAACTCCCAATTCACCAAGTGATCCTTTTTCCCCTCATCCTTACATTCCCAAAGAAAATCCCACGTCAACTTTTCTATTGACCTTGCCACCTTAACCGGAACCTTGAACAGAGATAAATAATAAATAGGAATACCACTCAAAACAGTCTTAACCAAAGTGTATCTACCCCCTCGTGATAATAAAGCCTTACTCCATCCTTCCAATCTCTTGCCAACAAGGTTCTAAAAAGCGGTTGCGGTCGCCGTAACGGTGGCGGTGGAGCGGTTGCGGTTGCGGGGTGTAAAGGCCGTGGCGTAACGGTTGCGGTAACCAGAACCGTGAATTTTTTTATTTTTCGCACAATTTAAAAAAAACTTACCGATACGCACATTTTTTTTCCATGATCATATTTATTGGGTTTTAAAATAAATATTGATTAATTTTTATAAATTTTTTAGTTTGATCCAATATATTTTATATTTTTAAATCATTACAAACTGAGTTTTTTACATTTTATTTTAATAATTAATGACTTTATATTATATAAAAAATCAATCACTAACTATTATATATAAGATAAACAATGACAAAAGTAAGAGAATAAATAAAAGCCTAAATATATATATATATATATATATATATTAATCAAGCCAAATAGATAATGACCACACTTGTTATTATTATTATTATTATCAAACAATATATAGATAGACATACACAAACAAAATGGTTGAGTGATAGCAGCTGAATATAATAGTATAAGTCTTACAGCTTCAACAAATCAATAACATGTTCTTCATCTTTCCTCTTCTCTCTCTCTATCTCTTGTTCCTCCATCTTCTCTCTTCATCTTCCCTCTTCTTTCTCTATCTTTCTTCCGCATTTTCAACTTTTTTTTTTCGAAAAAAACAATTTGGAACCGTTACGTAACGGTGCATAACATGCCGTTACGGCACTATTACGACCGCTATAGCAACCGCTACAGCCAATACACCTGTGAATCTCAATCACACCGCAAAAGCGGCCGTAACGGGTGGCGGTAACGATCACAACCGTTACGTAACGGCGTTACGTAACAGTTGCGGCCGCTTTTTAAAACCTTGCTTGCCAATCTTTTCTACCATTGGAGTCCAAAAAACTTCACTCCTAGGATTACCCCCCAATGGAAGGCCTAAATACTTAAATGGAAGTGACTCTATACCACATCCTAAAAGAGATGCCCTAAAGTTGATCTTGCTGCATATTAATTCCCACCACGCTACTTTTTCCCAAATTAATCTTGAGCCTCGAAAGAAGCCCAAAAATTCTCAAAATCGAATAAAGATTAACTATCTGATTTTTATCCCCAGAAGAAAAAAATATAGTATCATCTGCATATTGTAAATGAGTTACACTAACTTTATCCTTCCCCACCTCTAACCCCTCAAAAAGACCTGTTTCTTTAACTCTATCAACCATCATGCCCAGTACATCAGCCACCAAGATAAAAAGAAAGGAAGAGAGTGGGTCCCCTTGTCGAAGCCCCCGTGAAGCCCTAAAGCACTCCCTTAGTTTACCATTAACTATGACTGACATATTGCAAGTTGACAAACAACCCCAAATCCAAGATCTCCACCGTCCATCATATCCTTTCTTGTCCATTACAAAATCCAAAAACTGTCAATCCACATGGTCATAGGCCTTTTCAAAATCTACCTTAAAAATAAGTCCCTCCCTCCCTGAACTCCTATATTCCTCTACTATTTCATTTGCCAGTAAGGCAACATCTAAAATTTGTCTTCCTTTCACAAAAGCCCCCTGCACCCTAGACACAGTATCCCCTAAAGACATCCTTAGTCGTTTTGATAAAAACTTTCTCAAAATCTTATACAGTGACGTTACCAAACTGATAGGCCTAAAATCTCCAATTCTGATAGCATTCACTTTCTTAAGAATTAAACAAATGAATGTGGCATTTGAGCTCAAATTAACCACCCTCGACTCACGAATTTCAAAAACACACTCATCAAATCTCTTTTCACCACCTCCCAACAATCTTGAAAGATAGCCATGGAAAAACCATCCGGACCTGGAGCTTTACCTCTTTCACAATCAAAGACCGCCTCTCGAATTTTTGTTTCATCAAAAGGCCTTTCAAGCCATGTTGCAATTTCCGGATCAATGGTTCCCCATTCTAGTCCTTCAATCCCCGGTCTACTCACCTCTTCCTTTGAATAAAGTTGAGAATAAAAATCATAAATGCCGCTGACAATCTGATTCTCCCTGTCCTCCACAACCCTTGGGCTTACTTCCAATCTCTTGATGAACTTCTTCATCCTTTTCTCGTCTGCAACCTTGTGAAACAATTTTGAACTAACATCCCCTTCCTTCAACCATTTGATCTTTGCTTTTTGAGCCCAAGAAACTTGCGCCTCCCTAAAAGTCAACTCCTCCAATTTCAAGCTAAACTTGGATCTTTCCCTCCTTCATGACTCAACTAAACCCCCTTGCGCCTCTAATTCATCTAACTCTACTATTCTACCCCTTCTTTTATAACTGTCTTCAATTACACTAAATTGTAATTACATATCTGTAAGTTGTAATTGCAGATTTGACATGGGTGTGCACACCTTCTAGTCTTTATTTTTATGTTTATGTTCATTTCTTATTGAAACTGGCAATCATAATAAACACACAAACAAACAAAAAAATTGCACTCCCAGCATAGTTGTCCCATTTCTATCCTTGTCAAAATGCAAGCTAGAAAATTCATCAGCAAAAGACAGATAATCATCAGCTTTAACCTAATGGGTGTGGGGGCAGGTGCGGGTACGTTATGGATACTCCGATATAAAAAAACGTTTAAAAATGGATATGGGTACAAGTGGTGCTTCTTAAGTTGAAATATTGACCGAAACCAACTTACTTGTTAATTATTCATTGACAAGTGTATGTGTAGGCCAGGGACAGTAAACTATCAGTTTGAGCCACGTGTCAACTTTGACTTTTCAGCTGGCTTACATACCATTTTGCTTTTATAATTTGTAGCAGTGCATGATGCATAACAAATAGGAAATCAAATGCAAAAAATAATTCAAGTAACTAACAATTACAAAAACAGAGAACAATAGATAGAGTGGGTAGAAAATAAAAAGATGAAGATGGGTACTCCACGAGAGAGGGGTTTTGAAAAATAGTGAAGAAGATGGAGAGGGGAGAGCCAAAGAAAAGAGGAAGCAAAAAAAGAACCCTAAGTTTTTAAATTTTTCATAATTGTAAAAATACACTATTGTAAAAGTTTTTAAAAATATGCACAACAGAGTCGTAACAATATCTCTATTTTTCAAAAAAATTACATTTATGCCCTAACATACCCACAACAGTACCTGAAGCATACATATCTCATGCTCAAAACGTACCCATCCTATGTCCAACTCATACCCAACATTTAAAAATTCCGCATACACAATACAAGAGCAGCCATACTAGGTAAGTACCCGTGGCAATATTTTCAAAATACCCATGCTTCATAGTCTTTAACTGAGTAGGCCAACCAACCGATACCCAATCAAATTTTTAAACTCAAAATCAAACCAAATATCATCAAGGGAAAAAAAAAAATTTTTAAAAAAAAAACTAAGATTAATCTCAGTAAGAGAGGAAGTTCCTATTTCTTTGATGTGATAGATTAGAAAATGTCATATGACTTAGATCCAATACACAACACTCCCACTTACAACAAGGTCTCTAAAAGAGGTAGTAGATTGGCAGTTTTACCCCCACTCCTTTGATGTGATTGATTGAAACAGAAAATATGAACTGACAACCACGCGATCGATATTCTTTTGTTGCCACCAACATACCTTCTAAATTGCTACCATCTCCAGCACAGACCACCACCCTTGAGATAATGAAGAATAAAGCCAGACCCACTAGTTGCAATCAAAGAGATCCATCATAAATTAAGACAAAAGCCTCCAGGATCTAGAGTCTGCACCAACACTTTGGGAGATGGAGAACCTTAAAAGTGATGTCCCACGTTTGAAATGGAAACTTCTTTTCTCCATTGCACTTTAAAAGGAATATCACTATATAGTCCAAGACTCCAAAATTATCATTTATGAAGCACAGATACTTCTAGAAGGGACTTTATCTGTATCGGATAAAAATACTCATGGATAGGTATCCGATAAGTCCTAAATGTATCCATAATTTGAAAACTAATTTCTTTAATTTCGAGAAGTATTGGTTATTCTAGATAACGCATCAAAACTATTTTGAAATTGAGATTGTAACATTTATTGCATAGCATTAGTATAATTGTTACGATAAATATAAAAATAATTTTCCAATACTTTTTGCTTACTTGTTAGAGAAGAAAAAAATAGTGACATTAACTTTTTCAAATTTGTCGAATTGACAAATCCTTAATGTGTCATACATGTGTGCCATCTCCATATTCATACTTCATACAAAGTAAGGTTAATAAGAACACAGCGATACTAAAATTATACAAGCAAGTAAACATTTATGCATATAAACTGACGTGTAAAAGGGCAAAGCACAGGGGCAAGTTGTGAATTATTTTGTTATTTCAATATTAAAAATTTCAGAACCTACTGAAAATTAAAAAGTAAATTGACTATAGACTCTTAAACTAATACCTAATTCTTAAAAGCTTTGCATTAGAAAATAACAATGGTTTCTCACCATTCATTGAGTTTATGTTTAATCGTTTGATGCAATACTAAAAAATAATAAAAATATTGTTTAGCAAACATATCATTGTCGTACCGTATCCTACTTCTTTATGTTTTTTCATATTGTTGTATCTGTATGTTGTGCATGTACCTATTTTTATTTTATTTTTTATTTTTTTATTGGCATTGGGATGTCCGGATCAAAATCCGACTAATCCCCAGGGGTGCGCAGGCCCTCGACAAGGAGTTTCCTGCAAGTGCACCATGGTTAAATTCAAGGATTTTTCCCTACTCCGATGGCCCCAAGGAATTGTTAGCACCTAAGAGGTTTCGATCCCTGAACCTTGGAGGCAGTACACCCGCAAGATCCAAGGCCTTGCCACCAAGCCAACCCCTTGGGATTATGTTTTACATGTATCTATGCTTCATGTTCTTTTTATATCATGACTAGTTCTTATAGTGCCACCAACCAAAATCATATCATTCTTTACAAGAAAAAAAATCAGTCTTCATTGGATGTGACATTGTCTTAGAAAGTCCCCCATCTTGTCATTTTCAATTGGTGCACCTCTACTTTATTGTTCATGCATTAATTTTATCACTCATCAATTTCAAGACCTTTATTTTAGCTATAGACATTACTAAAAAGGGCATAAGCTAAAAGTATAAAGGAAAAAAAAATATAAAAGACAATCATTCATTGCGACGTATAAAGGAAAACAAATATAAAAGACAATCATTCATTGTGACGACTGGGAAACATCCAACAAGATTTAAAACAATTACAATAGGCTCTTAGAAACACATGTAAATTCCAATCATGAATGATGACATACGACCTCGAAATTGAGAAAAACAGGTAAACGCACACACTAACTCCCCTACTTCACACATCCATATTGATCATAGTTCAAGTGCATCTAACATATGTTACTTAAGTATAGCCCACAAAAATGAGATTAGATACGTTTCCAGCACTACTAGAACATAATTACTCGTCTTAAAAAAACAGTCGGAGGGGCAAAAACCAGATAAGTTCATCTACAATTAAAAAGACTAGGTTATTAATACCAAAAACTAAAGACTATGACAGACACCAAATAACTAGTGCATAAAATAAAGTATTATGGTCACTAACCATAACCCTATATGGATGATTGCTTTTGTGAGGATTTAGCTCAGCTCCAACAGAAAAGCACTCCACGCAAAGGTCAAAATCAGGACACATTATACACTTAATGCGTATCATTCCTGAGATATCTTTGTTGCAATAATTACAGTGGTACAAAGCTTTCTTCCCTTCAGCAATTTCTTGATCTACACACAAAAAAAAAAAAAAAAAGTTTTTCGTAGAAACGAAAACAGACAAAAAGAAAACAAATTATTAATTAATACTACAGTTACAACATAGTATTGAAAGCTTACAGGGGAAAAATCCATAAGCAATAAGGATAATAATCAGGATAACCCTTCTATGTCCCAGATTGATCAGTTTCTGGTTTCGGTTGAGTAGAAGGAGCACTTCTTGGAAGTGGTGCATACCTCTCTTCCAAGGCTAATTTCTGACCATGTCCCTCTTTTATTGGACAACAGAGGTATTAAGAGGACATTGCCACCTTCAAATTTTAAAAAAATGATTGGTGGATGGTTTCAAGGACAGGCTTTCCAACTAGTGGAATAGTTGAGGTGGAATGCACTCTTAACTTCATTTTGGCTGGTAAGTTAAAATTACCAAAGATTGATTTGAAGAGGTGAAAAAAGGAGGATTGCAGAAGGTTAGAGATGCTAAGATGGAGGGTTTTTCAGATACCCAAAACCTATTCATCAATAAATGAATTAAGGAAGCAGGTGGTTTTTCTTCAAACACGAGAAAATGAGCATTAGTTCTCAGACAACGGGGACAAATACCCATATCCTAAAAATTTGAATATGTTACTTCTAAAATCAAAGTTGAACTTCATCCAAAACTGCTATGAGTTCCCTTTTTATCTCTGCTTCTCTTCTTTTTTTCTTTTTTCTTTTTCCAGTTTAAACCATAAAACTAATCAAGTGGGAAGTACATGATGAAAAAGGGAAATTTTATTCTATCTTTACTGATAGTTGGACCACATTGACTTATAAAAAGGTTTAAATAAGAATAGGAAGTTGGAATATGACATAACATTTCGAGCAACACTTGAGAAACAAAATAATAATTCACATTTGATTCTAAGTAGTTTTTTTTTTAAAAAAAAAAAATTAAAAGTAAATTGTACAACGCTTTGTACTTTTGCAAATAGCACAACTTCAAATAGTCACTGAATTTAATTACGTGATAATAATTTAGAGCATGATACCTGCAGTAGCTGGTTCTAAATTCTCCACATTTGAAGCATTCCTTTTTCTCTTGGATCGACTAAAGGTTACAAGGAAAAGGAAAATGTAAATTCATATTGGACAACCAGAAAAAGGGAACAAAAAAATAAAAATATAAAAATAAAAGCATAACCACAACCACAAGTAAGCGGTGTGAATGGTAATTTTTTATGACAGCATGCTTTGAAAAACTACATTGTGAAGGATATGAAGTAACCATTGACACTTCAAAACAACAAAAAAGTTTCTAGGGAAAATAATAATTACTAAATAAATGAGCTGAACAAGAAAATGGAATGCAAATGCAAAGGTAAAACTTGATGTAGAAGGCAAAAAAATGATAACTTGTATTAGGCACCTAAACTTTTGCTAAACAAGTGACTGCAATGCAAATACATAACAAGTACTACTTATTTTAGAAAATTACACTAATCTGCCCAGAGATTTCTAATAATGACCAAGACCTCCCCTCTGGTTCACTTGCCTATAACAAAATCTCCCTTTTCGTACAATCTCGAATGAAAATTGCTAAGGTCATCAGTTAAATATTTTGAAATATTATTCCTACCCTTTTTGATTTCATTTCAATATTAAAATGTCTTAGCCGTTTTTCTAACAAGGTAAATGTGAAAAATATTAAAGTGTACAGATTACTCAATTATTTATAGCCACATTATCAATTATACAAAAGAATTGTGAACCTTACAACACCACACCCATCCCCGCCTTTTCACAAAAAGGCATCTATGCCTTCTTCCCCAACTCTGGTCTGCTAGGCCCCATTCTGACCTTTCCACTATCCAGTACCAGATACCCAAATACCATTATCATTTACTGCCCCTTCATTAACAAATGCACTCTCTTCCTCTCTCTCTAGGTACACACATAAAAATACCTATACATGGGTGTATAAGCACACACAGCAATCATTTTTGCTCTCCAGAAATTCAACTAGAGCACCTCTTTCTCTCTCTTTTACACTGCCAAATCCACCTGATCTCACTCTCTCTCCCTCTCTCAATATATATATATGAAAGCATACATATACACAATATATATCTTCCTTATGTGCACATGTATATACAATTTTGCATTTTGAATACCATTCTCTCTCTACAAACTCAACCCCAGATGAAGTAACCCAATACATGCGCTTACCCACATCAGCCATGACCACCAAGGTGATGGAGCAGTCATGGCAATAGATGCCACTTTTGCAATAAGTGGGGCACATGGATGCAATGGCTCGAATGTCGTGCTGGTTTGGACCCTTGTAATTCATCTCTCTAAACCCACAATTATCTTCTTCATTTGTTAGCCAGGAGAGTGGGTTTGGTCAAATGGAGGTGGGAGGTGAATTTTTTTTTTACAATTTGTAAAGGATTGTGTATCAGGAGTCTCATGGCGAAGGGTGGTGGTGACCGATGGAAGTGCAAGGTAGTTTTATTTTCTGATTTTAAAGGCATGTTATGGAAAATCTGGGTGATAGTGTGTGGTGGAAAGCGATGGATGCAGGTGGGGAATTTTGTTTTCTGCTTTTTCCAGTGTTGCAAGATGGGGGAAGGGGAGGTGGTGATGGGTGGGCCCTAATCACTAGAAGTGGACAGTGGCTTTGATATCTTAGTTTTATTGATGGCTGATGTAGTGGGGGAGGAAGAACATGGGGGTTAGTGCTAGTTGGCAATTATGGACACTAGCAAATAAGGTAGGAGGCAGTAGAGGTGGAGAAGATACAATGATTTTTAGTAAACTTAGATTTTGCATGGTTCAGTTATAGAAAGAGATCTAATACATAAATGAAATGAAATATGTGAAAAATACAAGTAATGTGAGAGTGAAATATGTTATAACTTTTACAACAAAATTACACAAATGGATTGGTAATTATATACACAAATATAAACGAATAATGTGGTGAATATGAGAATAAAGTAATATAAACAACACATAAATTTAAATTCAAAAAATATGGCCTCTGCGTGACTGAGGGGCATGTAGTCATTGTCCCAAAGTTGTTCCTCTCCACGTGAAGGTATAAACGAAGTGCAACAGCTCCAAGATACAACCAATGTGCTCACAAGAGAGTTTCTCTTCCAATGTTCACGTCCACCGGGAGGATACGAACGAGTTACGAACTAAGTTGACCACAATAAAAAATATATATATATATGTATGAATAATTCTCACAAATCATGATATATCTCAAAGTCATTTAATTTTGATTATGTGTTTCTTCCTTGCATGAGGCCAGTAGTCTTGCACCTACTAGGAACCACTAATTTCATCTATGTGGTCAATGGTCATGTACCTACTAGAAACCACTAATTTTCCTTCATATCTTCTTTCCCACATGTAATTTTTTTAAGGCTAAATTACACTTACACGCCCTGAGGTTTGGATTTAATATATATTACCCCTTGACGTTTGAGAAATTACACTAACCTCCTTGTCATTGTAATTATTTAGACGGAATAAAGGCATTGAACTCATGCACTCTCTTTTTTTGCTTTGCTTTGCTTTGCTTTACTTTCTCTTTTTTTTCCCCTTTCCTTTACTTTTTTTTTTTTTAATGTAATTCCTTTGTTTTTCTACTAAGAGTTGTTACCTTTTATATAAGCAGGGGGGTTTGTGAAATGAGACTATTAACCACAGAGGTGAGAATGTAATTTCCAAAACATCAGGGTGTCGGTAGTAATTGGACCAAACCTCAAGGGGTGTCAACGTAATTTACCCTTTTTTTAAATAGCTACAAAATAAATAATATATTTTTTCCAACAAAATGTTTGAGTAAGTTTGAATAAATATTTCCTCTTTTAAAATTTCACAAACAACTTGATTTTTGCAAAAGATAAGAACACATATTTTATTTCAATAAAGAATTTACTTTACCACACATTCCAATTTTTTTAACTGAAATTATTCAAAAACAAAATTGTATTACACAACTCAAAATTAGAAAATGTCTTCCTTTCATAGAAAAGAGTTTTTCTTTCTTCTTCTTCTTTTCTTTTTCTTTTTTTCAATTCAACGGGTAAATAGCTCATCATGAGAAGGTACAATTCAAAGTGGGAATTGGGTGTAGCCTAAAATCAACTTTTAGGAGCTTATAGCTTAATTTAAGCTGAAATTGTATGTTCGGTGTAACTTATGTATAGCTGCTTTAGCTTAAAAGGGTAGGGGAAAAACTTGACTTTGAAAAGCTTAGTTGGGGTTGCTTCTCCACTTTTTAGCTTTCACGATGAGTTGTTTTTAAACGCAAATTACTTAAATACCCCTTAGTATTTGAAAAAATTACAATGTTTTCCATGTATATAAACTCCAAATCTCTCATTCTTCACCGTTCCTCCCCCACGGCAGAAAAGGAAAACTCCATTGATGACGTCTTAGATGACAACGACTAGCAACTTCACTACCATCTTCGACATCCGCAACCAGCAAATCCTCCACCTTTGACTAAGACAACCGGAAACTTTACTGCCATCGGTATTTTTTTTTTCTATATGTTGTCTATAGAAAATTATCAGGAAATAATCATGCTTCAATTTTTCATTCAATGTATATAATGAAGAATTTCGACGAATGAACCACCATCTCTCTTTCACTGATTATATAGATATATATACACATACACACGATCTCTATAATGTTTCCATTTATATATAGATATATATATATATATAAGTCCAGCGGATCTGACCGTGTTAATTTTGGAATTAGGGTTTTATATAAAATTTGGGAAGATTTTTCTATGTGATGTTCTCACATGTCCCCACTAGAGGGCGTTTTTGTGTTTCAGGTATGTGTAAGTCCAACAAAATTGTGTCTCTCAAACCGCTGATTTGTTGTTTTAGTAACTATAGTGATGATGAAATTTTCATTTATGAAAGCACTTCTACGAAATTGAATCTGAAATTTTTTTCCCACAACTCTTGTTTGAAGGATAAAAAAATACAATTACACATATACAACAAAAAACTCCTTTACAGCTTATTTCACCAAACACTACTTTGTTGATTAAATTCATAATTCACATCACAACTACACCAAATAGGGTAACAACTAAAATTTGTTAAGTTCTAATATATAATCACTTTTACATGGCTATACCAAATAGGGCCAAAGTCTAAAATGCCAGTGCATTAAGTATACCATAAATTGCATGTATACATAACACCACCAATAAATATAAGCATATAATACAGAATCTCCCAATAATACATTATCTATTAACTCATGAGAGCAACAGAGAACTATATTGTTATTAAAGCATCTAATAAGATCGCAGAACACCTGAAACTAAAATTGTAAACATGCTTAATAGGTTTTTTTTCCTTATTAAAATAGAAACTGTAAAGTTTTTTGTTTTTTGTTTTTTTTTTTATCATACACTAGAATATGCAGCAACAAAAAACACATGTCAAGCAAATCATTACCCTAAGGTTATATATGCACAAAAAACTGAAATTGATTTTTATATTTATGTGGTTGATTTTAAAACGTAGACCAATTTAGAACATCGCATCTAACAACAGAAAAGAAAGAAATGGAGCTAAATATGATGATGAAATGGCATGGTAAAAATCTATAATATATGTGTATTAGTAATTTAATAGTGATGCTAGTACGAACAAGAATCGCAATACTATTGGCAATTGATATCTTGCACCTTGAATGTCCAAACTAGTAGTAGGCATGAATAATGTTTGCTATCAAGTGAAACAGAATATTCATAACAGCACATATAACAATATGATGAATACATATGAGACCACTATTATCTATGGAAGATAAACACACTCACACCATGTGTAACAAAAAAAGGAATCTGTAAGGACCCCAACCAAGACAATGCAGTCTACAAGCAATTCATTCACAAATATTAGCAATATCAAAAACCCACATTCCAAATTTTCCAATGAGCCCCATAAACAGTAGTATCTCTCATCTCATGCAGATTAACTCTCCAAGTTAATATTTTTCCCAATTCCCAATCACCCAAAAGCCTAATGTAGCTCTAATTAGAACTTAATTATAAGTTTGATGATACATATATATACCTGTGTATATATAGATATACAAGTTTATGTATAGTGAGAGAAAGAATGAGATAGGATGTAATTGACCGGACCTTTGGTTATGATCTTCTTCGGCGGAGTGGGGGATTGCACGAGAGCGACCCATTTTGGGTTCGAATTGGAGGCTGAATAGGGGAGTGATTGTGAAACCCTAGACAGAAAAAACGGCTCGTCTCAGTGCTTCATAAAAACAAAAACAAAATAAAGGAAAGCAAAATGATTTTGGATTCTGCGGAAGCGGAGCGTAGATATACAGCAAACCTTGAGGATGCATGCGATGAACGAAAACTGTGATAAATTACACCAGTCTACCTTGATTAATTGATTAAATTACATTTTATACTCTTAATTTAAAACAAATTACACCGACCTGGCCTAAAAGCTTAATCCCGTTATGCTTGCACCCACCGCCTTATTCAACTGTCAGGCAAATTGATTTATTGTTTTTAATATTTTTCAATAATATAAAAATTAAAAATAATAATAATAATAATTGAGAGAAAATGTTATCGCCTATCAATCGTTTCCATTTAGCACTAGCACAACCAACGTATTATTATTGAAGGTTGGAGACAGTGGCGAAATGTAACCATTAGCCACACTGAAATAATGTTTGAAAGTTATTATTAATTATTATAGGTGATTATAAGTCAAAAAAAAAGAAAAGAAAAGTGGTGAACAAATGTAATTATCGATAATTAAAGATAGTGATTAATTATTAAAAGTGATTAATTATTAAAAGTGTTTTATGATAACAGGTAATGCACGAAGATGGTTTACTACTAATAAATGGTGGTGGCCAAAGATAGAACTGCAAACGAGTCAAGTCGAGCCGAGTTTTAGTATGTTTGGACTTATTTATTAATATTTTAACGAGCTCGAGCTTGAACTCGAACTGAATAAAAATTTAACGAACTAAGATCGAGCCAAGTTGACTTAAGTTTGACTCGAGCTTGAACCTGTTCACGAGCCTTAATGAGTCAAAAAATTTATAAATTCATACTTGCATGTGAGACTAACGTTACAATTAAACTTTGATTATACACTTATATATACAATATATATAAACGTACTAAAAAAAAGTTATATTTTACTAAAATAATAATATCTACTACCACTATTATATAAATGTACTATTTATAGTTAACTAGTATTTACATTTATATTTTTTAAATATATAAATAGCATATTTTTCTTATTTTTTATACATATTTTTATATTATTTAATAGATAAATAATAAATATTAAACGAGTCAGTTAATGAGCCAAGCTTTAGAATGTTTGAGCTTGTTTATTAAAAATTTAACGAGCTCGAGCTCGAACTTGAACGTAAAAAAAAAGTTAATGAATCGAGTTCAAATGATCTCTTACCAAGCCGAGTTTGAACCTGTCCACGAACGGGTCTGTTCATTTGCATTCCTAGCCAAAATAGCTATAAGTAGAACTCATAGACAATAATAACTAAAGATGGAAATAGCTTATTGTTGGAAAAATGGTATTTTATATGGCTTATTTTGGGCCAACTTGGAGGCCAAATTTGAGTGGCCCCAAACATTGTTTGGGGTGAGTCCGAAGAGGTGACGTGTTTCTTGCTGCGTGGCAAGTCACATGGTGAAGACGGAACATCAAAAACCATTTATGAGTGAATGGGAAGTTGACGTCGTTTTTGGGTCTAACATTAATTTGTTTTAGATAAAAAATTCTTTTGAATTTTTTCAATAAAAATTATTGTAGGAATTTAATTTAATTCTAAATTCAAATTTTTAGTTCCTAAGTGGTTTCCTAAAATTTGTAATTGTGAGAATTTAATTTAATTCTAAATTCAAATTTTTGATTCCTAAGTGGTTTCCTAAAGATTGTACCTCTTCATTTATTTATTTATTTAACTATTTCAATAGTTTAATATATATTTGAAATAGTTTAAATAATAAATTACCTACAGATTTTAGACATTCTCTAACGGAACACTTCTTCAAATATTTGAATTTGAGATCAAACAGTCAACTTTATTTGAATTGAAATAATGCACCTTTTCACTTCTTTAAGTTGATACCTGTTCGGAACTTTTGCTGCCTATATATACCATCTATTCTAGCAGGTTTGAATCTAATTTTTGACATCCGAAAATCTGTCTAAATTTGATCTCATTGTTGTCCAGATTTTATTTTATTTTATTTTATTTTATTTTTTACTTTTGCATTATTCTTCATTCTAGTTTTAGAATAAATATTCAGAGAGTTAGATCACAGGTTTGGTTCGTCGAACGAATTTGTTTTGGAGTGCTACTACAAATTGATTAAAGATCATTGTATCCTGGGAGATAGACGCCACTCAACCGTAAGCACCATAGCGGGGCGAATTTGTCTTAAGGACAGAGTGTCACACACTCGACTTGGTCTTTTAATTTTTGTTTGGTTCAACAAAATATTTTCTGTAAGTTTTATTTTATTTTGTTTGAATTAATTTCTGTTTATTTTATTTACACAGAAGATTGTTCCAACAATCTTAAGACAGATTCGAATTATTCTGTTTACAGAATTTTTCGTTTGTTTTCCTTTTTCTTTCTGCGTAAATAATTTCGGAAGAAAATTATTTTCTGTAAATTTACAAAATAATATTCTGGTTGGAAAAACAAATAGTGATTATATGCTATTTGACAGATAGTAGTAATATACTGTCTCTTTTCTTTGACAACAACTAGTAGTACGATACTGGTGTCATTAACACTTCAGAATATATTTTTGTGAAATTTTTTCAGAAATTAATTTTGGGTTTTAGAAATTATTTTCTGAATTTTTATTAATTAAAATTCTGTTTCAGTATTTTAATTATTGAAGTGTTACTGAAATTAATTTTCTTGTGTGGAATTAATTTGGTTAAATAAAATTTTATTTTATTTCCAAATTAATTGAAAAATAAAAGTCATAGTTTTTATTTCTTTTGTTTTTACAGAATTTAATTTTCTGTGTAGAATTAATTTGTTTAAATAAAATTTTATTTTATTTTCAAATTAATTGAAAAATAAAAGTTACATTCTTGTTTCTTTTATTTTTACATAATTTAATTATGTGAATTTGGTTTAATTTTCTGTGTAGTGTAAATTCTAATTATAATTTTGTTTTATATATTAGAATGGATGGCTACTGAAACAAATGCCCAAACAAGTACTACTGTGGTGGCTGCAATGACGCCAACCCCCTCTCCTGTTGTAACAGTACCGGTAAATCACGGTGAAAAGTCAGAGAAGTACTTAGGAACTGACTTTAAAAGATAGCAACAGAAAATGTTGTTCTATCTTATAACTCTGAACCTGACTCGTTTCCTCCGTGAAGATGCTCCTATCCTGAAAGAGGATGAAACCGATCGGCAAGTGGTTGCTGCGGTTGATGCCTGGAAGCATGCCGATTTCCTTTGCCGGAATTACGTCTTGAACGGACTTGACAACACATTATACAACGTCTACAGTCCAATCAAGACTGCAAAGGAACTTTGGGAATCGTTGGAGAAAAAGTACAAAACGGAAGATGCCGGCTCAAAGAAATTTATGGTTGGTAGATTCTTGGATTTTGTAATGGTTGATTCAAAAACTGTGATCAGCCAAACTCAAGATTTCCAACTCATCCTGCATGACATTCACGCAGAAGGTATGTCTCTCAGTGAATCCTTTCAAGTTGCAGCCTTAATTGAAAAATTACCAAAATGTTGGAAGGAATTCAAGAACTATCTCAAACACAAGCGCAAAGAAATTTCTATGGACGAGTTAATTGTACGTTTGAGGATTGAGGAGGAAAACCGCAATTCTGAAAAGCGGGCTGGTAAGCTTCCTATGGAGTCTAAGGCAGATGTGGTGGAACATGCTTCAAAAACCAAGAAACGAAAGTCTTTTGGAGAAAGTACATCACAAGGCTCTAAAGGGGAGGAAAATAAAAAGTACAAGTTTAATGGCAAATGTTACATCTGTGACAGAGAGGGACATCGGGCCAAAGATTGCCATAGCAAAGGCAAAAGTAAAAGAAGAACAAGCAAGAAGCCTGCTCAAGCCTATATGACCGAAGTGGACAATATTTTCAATGGTGACGATGACATCAATCTTTCTGCAGTTGTTTCCGAGACAAATCTTGTCGGAAATCCTAAAGAATGGTGGGTGGACACTGGTGCTACTCGCCATATCTGTGCCGACAAAAAGATGTTCATATCTTATTCTACAGTGGATAATGGTGAACAACTCTTTATGGGCAACTCCTCAACTTTTAAAGTTGAAGGATAAGGAAAGATTGTACTCAAGATGACATCTGGAAAGGAACTCACTCTCAACAATGTGCTGCATGTACCAGACATTCGCAAGAATTTTGTTTCCGGATCTTTGTTGAGTAAGAATGGGTTTATGCTAGTATTTGAGAGTGATAAATTTGTACTTACTAAGAATTGGATGTATGTAGGAAAAGGTTACACGTCTGATGGCCTTTTCAAGTTAAATGTAATGACCGTTGTACCCTCAGTTATTAATAATACTACATCTTCTTCTTACTTGCTTGAGTCTTCAAATTTATGCCATGGTAGACTAGGACATGTTAATTATGGATCTTTGCGTAAATTAATTAATATGGAATGTTTACCTAAATTTAACATTGATTCAAATCATAAATGTGAAATTTGCGTTGGGGCAAAATTATCTAAAACTCTTTTTCATTCAATTGAAAGAAGTACGGAACCACTTGAATTAATTCATAGTGACATTTGTGATTTTAAATCAATTCAAACTAGAGGTGGGAAAAAGTATTTTATCACTTTTATAGATGACTATACTAGATATAGTTATGTCTATTTAATTTGAACCAAGAATGAAGCTTTGGAAACTTTCATTCAATATAAGAATGAAGTTGAAAATCAACTTCGTAAGAAAGTCAAGAAACTTAGAAATGATAGAGGTGGTGAATATGAATCACCTTTTGGTGCGTTTTGTAAAGAATATGGAATAATTCATCAAACCACCGCTCCTTACTCACCTCAGCAAAATGGAATTGCTGAAAGGAAAAATAAGACGTTAAAAGAAATGATGAATTCCATGTTAATTAGTTCTGGATTACCTCATAACTTGTGGGGGGAAGCAATACTTTCTGCTAATTATATACTTAATAAAGTACCCTGAAAGAAAGTGAATCAAACACCTTATGAATTGTGGCATGGAAGAGTACCATCTTACAAATACTTAAAAGTGTAGGGGGTGTTTGGCTAAAGTGGCTATTCCTAGTCCTAAAAAGACTAAGATAGGTCCTAAGACCATTGATTGCATTTTCATTGGTTATGCCAAGAATAGTAGTGCATATCGGTTTTTGATTCATAAATCTGAACATTCCGAAATGCATG